CCCAGGCAGTCTGCCTCCCCTCATACTCTGCCCCCAAGACAATGTGGGTGATTGAACGGAACACACTCGGGGGGTGAGTGGAGGTCTCCAGGGTCCCAGAGGCCAGAACAGCCTTGGGGGCCTGAGGTCCATGGGTCCCCATGCTCCAGCAGGAGTGGGTGATTGTTCAAGGGTGTGCTCTATTTCTTCTCAGGGGTGTGAGGGTCCCCAGGGTCCTGCTGACTGTAGACCAAAGCAGCCTCCTTCGAGGCTTTCTCCAAAGCCTGGGAGAGCCTTCTGCTTTTTTCAAGGTCACCCCAGTGGGGCAGCTTTGGCCAAAACTTTAGATGGTGTCAGTGCCAGAGAGTGTAAAAGGAGGCAGGGTCAGGAAGGGTTAGGAGTGGCCACAGGCGATCGGGGTGGGGGACGCATGATATGAAATCCTGAGGGGCACTTGGATTTTTTCACTCTGTGGGAGTCAGCGTACCTGGGCCAGAGGAGTAGTGCCTTGGGGTGTTCTGGGACAAAGCAGGAGGCATCTCATTGTGTGTGAAGGTGGGGGCTTCTGGTTTTATTATCAACGTAACCCCAAGGGCCATGGTGTGAGGGTGCAGAGAGCAGAAGGCATGGGCTGGGACAAGGACGGGAGGAGGCCAGAGCTGGTCACAGGGGGTGGTTACTTTCCTAATGGAGAAAGAGAGGCCGGAAGTCAGCCTGCTGGACCAAAGTAGGTGCAACCCAGTGGGGCAGGGGCGGGGGGGGGGGTCGTGGTGGTCCCATGCGGCTCAGAAGCACATGAGTCAGGCATCAGCCAGAAGGAGCCCTTGTCCCCAGACCAGAAGAGCAATTAGCAAGTTTGCAAATTACCCCTCCTCTGCTCTTCTCATCAGAACGCTGATTACTTGTTTGGCTAAGAGCATGGGACCTGACCACAGGGCAGTGTCTTCATTAAAACCTCAAATTTTGTCTGAATTCCTGAGACCACTGAAGCTCACTTGATCTTCTCTGGCTGTACATCTTACACCCATGGGCTCAGCTAACATGAGGGTTATCCAGATTGACAGAGGGAGGCTGGCGGGTGGGGTTCTCAGGTCTGGGAGCCAGACCGTGTCTTCCTTGAGGGGAGGGAATCATGTCCACTGGGCCCAGAATAGGCTTGAAACTGCAACACCCAGAATTCTGGGGTCTAGGAGGAAACCTTTCCCAGCAGATGCCATGGGGTGAGCAGGCGTGGGTGGAGCCCCCAGCACGGTTTAAGGAAATAGGTTGAGCCATGTTCTACATTTGATGCCATGGTGCTATGCTATTTCTTCAAAAGAAACATGATCACAAACCACAATGTTGTTGTTGTTGGGTGCTGTTCAGTTGATTCCAACCCATAGTGACCCCATGTGACAGAGAAGAACTGCTCCATAGGGTTTTCTTGGCTATAATTTTTATGGGAGCAGACCGCCGGGTCTTTCTCCCAGGGAGCCACTAGGTGGGTTTGAACCTCCAACCTTTCAATTAGCAGCTGAGCACTTAACCATTGTACCACCAGGGCTCCTTAACCTGCAAAACAGAAAATAAATGCAAGGGAAACGGGGTCTTAGAAGGTCTCCCACTCTGTCCTCCTGGGCCATGCCAGACAGCTTCCTTTGAGAGCAGCCCTGGGCGGACCAGGGCCCATGTGGCCTGAGGTCCCTGTGCGGTTGGCTGCCTTTCCTGACCATTAATCGCTACTAAGTGTCATTACCGCTAATAAAATTAACCGACTTTATACTGGACTCCTGGAGCCATCAATCACAAGGTCTATTACATGAAATTAAAAACACAGGTGCCTGTTGACGGGTGAAAGGGTGTTTGCTGAGCCCGGCTCTCAAGTGCAGCCTAGGTAAGTCTTGTGCTCCACAATCAACAACAGGTTGTGAGTGAGGCTACACCCTTAGTCAGACAAACCAACCACCAGCCTTTATACTGTAGGGGTGTCTCCGGCAAGAACACAGCTGGGCCTCAGGAACACTTGGGGACCAGGGCCTTAAAAACTCCCCAAACTCTCTTTCCCGCTCTCACCTCTGCTTCTCTCTATGTATTTGTTTCATTCTTTTTCTCTCTCTTTGGGCCAGCTTCATCTGTCTATCCAGACTCAGCCTCCCAGAGAGAGAAAAAGAGGGCAAGTGACTATTTTCTCTTCATTCAAATTCCAGATTCCCAGAGAAAGAACCAATTGGCCTTGCTTGGGTCACGTGATCATTATTGGTCCAATCAACAGGCCAGAGCAACAAGGTCATGTGGTATAAAATGGCCACCAGGGGCCACACAGCAACTATGTAGACAGAAGGAAGGGGTGGGCAACCCAACCTCTTAGGTGTCCACAGCAGTAATTTAAAGGACTTAGCAGTAAGCCCTCAAAAAGTGGTAGCTATAACAATGTTATTGTTAGCTGCTGTCCCCATGCTGTGCCATCCCCATGATTGGTTGGAGATTGGACCATTATGTTCCATAGTTTTCGCTGGCTGATTTTCAGAAATAGATTGCCAGGCCTTTCTGTCTAGTCTGTCTTAGTCTGGAAGCTCCGTGGAAATCTGTGAAGCATCATAGCAAAACACAAGCCTCCACTGCCAGACGGGTGGTGGCTGCACATGAGGTTCAACTGGCCAGAAATTGAATCCAGGTCATAGTATATATATTATGTAATATATAATATAGCTATATTGTTGTTGCGTGCCATCGAGATGATTCCAACTCATAGCAAGCCTATATGACAGAGAAGAACTGCCCGGTAGGATTTCCTAGGCTATAATCTTTACAGAAGCAGATTCCCAGGTCTTTTCTCCTGCAAAGCAGCAATAGTTATTATCCTTAAAATGGCATTTGAGAACAGGTCTTGAAGGATGTGCAACTCCACCAACCAAATTCCCATCATTCCTTGCTCGTTCTCCCATCTGACAATCAATTGCTGTAAGAGATTCCTGAAGCATAGGAACTGTGTGAGCAGAAGTTGCCCCTCACACCAGCCCCTGGTGTAAAAAGGGGTCTTTGAAGGGGCTAGATGGCTGCTTCCCGCTTTGCTCCCTGTAGCCCCCAGCCACCCTCCACACTGGAAACCTGTCCAGGTAGGGGCTTCTCAGCTTGAGTTGACATTGGATTCTGCTCAGAACCTGCCAAGTGTCAAGCTGTAAGGATTTCCTGCCAGGCTACAGGGAGGGGCTTAGGTGTCGACCTGGTGGACTGGAAATTTACCCATTTGCCCCCAGATTAATGATTAACGGGCCCCTGCCCTCACCCTGTCTGGGAGAGGAGCCCAGGGCCAAGCTGGGCCAAGAGAAGCCCGATAGCATCTGTCTCTGCTCCGAGGTTTCGGAGATATGCTCCACACTGTGTTGGCTGCGCCTGATGGATTTGGAATCTGTGGGCACTTTCTGGGGGCACCTGGGGCTTGGCCAGGACCCACACTCTCTGGTGAGGCTTCCTGCTCCTGGGGCAGACAGAGAGGGGGTGGCATCCAGCCAGATGGCCTGGCTGAGGCAGGTAGTTCCAAAGAGAGAGCCATGTCCTTGGTTCAGTGGTACGTGGGCTTCTCTGACCATTCAGGGCTTGGCCACTGGGTTGGTGGAACATGAGCAGGAGTGACAAGTGCTACATCCAAGCCAGAGCTCTAAGAGTCATCGCCCGGTCCCATAGTTGCTCTTTTCCCCTGGCCAAGAGGCCGACATGTCCCAGAAAAGGACTGCTCCCTCCTGCTGGGGTTCCAGAATGATGTATACTCCACCAAGACTGAGGGGCACCAGGGCAGGTGGGGCAGCAAACATTTTGAACTAGTAGAACCGTCTCGCAGAGGACTTCTGGGAAGAGGGAAAGCAAGCTCTAATTCTCATCTCACCTTGCTGCTGATTTGTTGCATGACTTGGGTCAGTCACTGCCTCCTCATAGAACCTTTGTTTCCTCATCCAGACAAAAAGGGAGACTGCCAAGGTTAGAGAGTAAAACATCTTGCAAGAGAAAAGAATTTTGAGACACTCCAGCTAGCAGGGAGGTAAACCTAAATGTCTCAGGCACTGTGTGGTTAGTACTTTTCATATGATCCTCCCAGCAACCCTAGGAGGTAGACAGGATCACTCCACTCTCCAGAGGAGAAAACCAAGGCTTCAAGGTTTCACAGTTAGGAAGTGGCAGAATAAGGCTTAGAACTTGGGCAGCCTGACTCCAGAATCCACAGAACTTGAACAGAGTAACAAGAAGCCTGGGGCTGATGGTCTGATGGAAATTTAGCTCCTTCACCTTCATCCATCCATCCATCTTTCCTTCCTTCCTTCTTTCCTTCCATCTATTCATTCGTCTATTCATCCATTCATCCAGATATTCCCCAAGCATCTCCTTTGTACCTGGCACCAAGTGGCCAGATCCATCTAGGAAATATGGAAACAAGTCAGGTTAGATGGATTACTTGGATGGCAACATAATGTAAGGGAAAGAGGAGGGTAGAGAGGTCTCAGAGACCTTGACTGGGTGCCTACTCAACATCTACATCCTCCCTGCCTGCCCTCTTTTTGGAGTGTGGTCTCCTCTCTAGGCAGTGGCCAGTACTATGTGTAGTAGTTCCTAAATTTCCCCAATCATAGAAGCCACCCAGGGAGCTTGGTTAACATGCAAATTCCAAGGCCCCACCACAGACCAATGGAATCAGAATTATCAAACGTAGCTCCTGGGAATCTATATGTTTAATAAGCATCCCAGATGATTTTCTCATTGGCAAGTTTGGAAAATAGAGTGGGTAGACGGAGCAGATACTTTGGAATCTGGAAAACTTGGGTTTGAGGTTCTGCACTAGCCCTTGTTACAGGCATCTTGGTTTCCTACTCTGTAAGATGGACCCGGATGGGGTCCCAGGGGCCAGCCTGCCAACCAGAAGAGCAATAAGTAAAGCCCCTGAGAACACCCTGATCCTCACACCTGCCCCAGGTCCTCAGGGGCTGTCATCCTTGTCCTCCCCCGTCACGACCCCCGTGCTCACTCGCCTCCCCTTCTCTCGCCCTCTCCAGCTTGACCGGGCGGGAGGTCCTGACGCCCTTTCCAGGGCTGGGCACTGCGGCAGCCCCCGCGCAGGGTGGGGCCCACCTGAAGCAGTGTGACCTGCTGAAGCTTTCCCGCCGACAGAAGCAGATGTGCCGGCGTGAGCCAGGCCTGGCCGAGACCCTGCGGGATGCTGCGCATCTCGGCCTGCTTGAGTGCCAGTTCCAGTTCCGGCACGAGCGCTGGAACTGCAGCCTGGAGGGGAGGAGCGGCCTGCTCAAGAGAGGTAAGGTAGGGGCTCAGAAGGAGGCTCCCCCTTCCTGCCCCACTGGCCCCCACACCCAGGCCACGCCACCCTTGCCAACCCCGCCCAGTCCTCGGAAATGCCGTGGTCCAACTGGCTCACACGTTGACTTGTATTCGAGATACCTGATTTGGTCCCAGCTTTGGCCCCACCAGGTGCCTAAATCACTTCTCTTTGCGTCTTAGCGTCCTTAACCCTGACCTGCCGCCCTTTGGGACTCTGGGAATACACTCCATAGGGAATTTGAAAGCCCCCCATTTCAAGTCTCAATTTTAATTAAAATTCTTGATTTTAATGTTAATAATTTTCCATTTGAACATTTAATTTTCAATTTCAGTTTTTCTTCTTAAAAATAATTTATTTTATGTTTTGTTGTTCTTGAAAATAAACACAGCAGAACACATAACAATTCAACAGTTTCTGCAGGTACAATCCAGTGACACTGATCACATTCTTCAAGTTGTGTAACCATTCTCACCCTCCTTTTCCAAATTGTTCCTTCCCCATTAACATAAACTCATTGTTCCCTAAGCTTCCTATCTAACCTTTCAAGTTGCTGTTGCCAATTTGATTCCATGTAGATAGCCCTTCACAATTTCAATTTTCAATTTTAAGGAGTGGGTGAGAGGGATGTCCATCCCCAGGGCTTACCATGGTGTCCCCTCCTTGGCTCGAGGCTGTTACTGCCCTCTGAGCCTACTCCCTTCCTTCCCTCCTGCCTCCGGGTGCCTGCACACAGGTTTCAAGGAGACAGCCTTCCTGTACGCGGTGTCCTCGGCTGCTCTCACGCACGCGCTGGCCCGGGCCTGCAGCGCTGGGCGCATGGAGCGCTGCACCTGTGACGACTCCCCGGGCCTGGAGAGCCGGCAGGCCTGGCAGTGGGGCGTGTGCGGCGACAACCTCAAGTACAGCACCAAGTTCCTGAGCAACTTCCTGGGGCCCAAGCGAGGAAGCAAGGACCTGCGGGCACGAGCAGATGCCCACAACACCCATGTGGGCATCAAAGTGAGCACAATCTCATCCTGGGCTGCCCAAAGCACCTTCCTCAGCCAGGGTGCCAAGCTGGGGAGCAGGGTGTATAGCAGGCCAGCAGCCCCCTACACACACACGCACACACACGCACACTGAGCCATCCCGGGATGAACGTCTTTTCTTTGACAAACATTCCCTGGGCGTCTATTCTGGACAAATACCAGGAGCCAGGAATCTGGTGGAAGAAAGGAAGGGACCTGAGCATCATTGGTGGCTGGGCAGCAGGTGGGAGCCAGGCTCAGAGCTGGGCCTTGGTGAGATGGGAGTATGTTCGGAGAGGGGCCTCCATTTCTGAAGACTGGTTCTCCCGGCGGTACTAGAAGCCAACATGGTTTGAAAACCTTGATCTTGTACAACCTCCATCCTTCTTCCATTTTATGGAGGAGGGCAAGAGAGCAAAGGGTCTTGGTTGAAGTCACACAGTAGTGAGAGAACTGAAGTGTAGCAAGTGTCCAGTGCTGGGGAGGTGGAAGGCTGGGAAAGGCTGGTCATTAGAGAATTCTGCATTCTGCGTCTCATGTCTGAGGTGGACCAGGGCTGCTGGGTTCAGTTGTGCAAGTTGCAGACCCCACAAGAACTCTGGGCCAAGGGGAGGAGTGGGGGCTGAGATCCAGTCCAAATTCCTCTCACCAAGGCATGACGCTGGCACAGGGCTGCCACTGCCCAGACTTAGTTGTTGTTATTAAGTGCCATTGAGTCACTTTTCGACTCATACCAACTCCATGTGACAGAGCAGAACTGCTCCGTAGGGTTTTCTTGGCTGTAATCTTTACGGGAGCAGATCACCAGGTCTTTCTCTCACAGAGCCAGTGGGTGGGTTTGAACTGCCTACCTTCTGGTTAGCAGCCAAGTGCCACCAGGGCTCCTGCTGCCCAGACCAAGGGGAGCCTTTTACAAGTTTGCACAAATGTGCTACATGGGCTGGCTTTGGTCCTATTTGCCCTTCATGTCTCTTTCCCATCCTCCTGCCACTCCCCTGAGAGAGGTGGTACTTTGGAACAGGCTCCAGGCCCTCAGACTGCGGTCCCCAGGCCTCTGACCTCCCCTTCCCTCCTCTCTGCCCCTGCAGGCTGTGAAGAGTGGCCTCAGGACTACATGTAAGTGTCACGGCGTGTCGGGCTCCTGTGCTGTGCGCACCTGCTGGAAGCAGCTCTCCCCGTTCCGTGAGACAGGCCAGGTGCTGAAGCTGCGCTATGACTCTGCTGTCAAGGTAGCCAGTGCCACCAATGAGGCCCTGGGCCACCTGGAGGTTTGGGCACCCACCAAGCCAGGCAGCCCTGCCAAAGGCCTGGTGCCCCGGTCTGGGGACCTGGTCTACATGGAGGATTCACCCAGCTTCTGCCGGCCCAGCAAGTACTCGCCAGGCACAGCAGGCAGAGTGTGCTCCCGGGAAGCCAGCTGCAGCAGTCTCTGTTGTGGCCGCGGCTATGACACCCAGAGCCGCCTGGTGGCCTTCTCCTGCCACTGCCAGGTGCAGTGGTGCTGCTACGTGGAGTGCCAGCAGTGTGTGCAGGAGGAGCTCGTGTACACCTGCAAGCACTAGGCCTGTGGCCCAGTGTGCCAGCCGGGCACTGCCAGGGCCTCCCGCTGCGCCCTTCCACCTGTGAGGCCACCCAGCTGTCCGGCCGGCCCCTCCGGGCAGGTACACACAGTGTGTGCATGCACACACTGATGTCCATGCCACTGCACACACGTGTGCAACTCACCACACCTCTCTCTGCTGCCCCTTGGCCAGCATTTTCTCTCCCTTAACACTCAGCAAAGAGAAGTGGGGACCCCACCTCAGAACCCCAGGGTCTCCAGCCTTATTGAGAACTTGGAACGGGAGGGCAGAGTGGGCACAGATGTGGCGGGAAACAAGGGAGACAAAGAGAAGGGCAGGACTGTGGCCTTGGAGGGGAGGGAGGGCATATCCACCATCTTGATCCTTCGGATGGATGGTCCGGAGTCAGCAGGATGCTGGGAGGTGAGCTCCTGGGCCAGGAACACAAATGCAGGCAGAGTCTGGCTGGGCCCACGGCAGTGAGCCCACAGGGGCCATGCCCCTTCATTCCCCTGGGGGCTTTGCCAGGCTAGAGATGGGGAGGAAGGCCAGGTGGTAGGAGGTGCTTGTCTGGAGAAAGGAAAGTTTTCTGGGCTTGAGTGGACCAAGTCAGATAATGTGCCCTGGAGCCCTGCGTCCTCAATTTGGCTTTAAAAAATCCCTGTGCTGAGGCCCCATGTTTGTCTGAGAGCTGCAGTATCCACACCACCCAGGCCCTGTTCCTGAACAGCACTAGTGGAGCTAAGATAGGTAGGGAGAGGCAGTCTCAAAGGTGGGATTCAGCCCTGGCACCCAAGGTTGCATAGGGAGACAGTGACCCCTCTTCCTTTTCCCCAGTGGCCAGAGGAACCTTTAATTCCAGCCTGGAAGAGGGTGACTCAGGGCCCTAGTGCCAGGGAGGGACTGGCGAGCTTGGCCTCTCACCCTCCTAGTGAGCCTGCTTCAGTCAACGCCCTGTGGCTGGGGTCTCGCTGGGTGGTGAGCCCCAGCACCAGCTGATGTTCATGATATAGAACAGTTGCTTCATGAGTTATGATTCTGCTTACATTTCCGCTCTGATGGCTATGGAGCTAATTAAGCCTTTGGCCCCCGCTGGAGTCTTTGCTAAGCCTGGCTCCTTAGTGGCCCCTTCATTGACGGGTGGCCCCTCACTTTGCTCTCACTTGGGCTCTTCCCTGAGGAATGGAAGTGAATTTGCCAATATCCTCTGATCCTGTGGACGTTTCCAGGGTCCCCTACCAAGACTCTCGTACAGGAGGAGGAGTAAGAAACCGGCACGCACACCCAGGCCTGCCCCCCACACGCACATGCACGCACGCACGCACCCCCCTTGGGCCTTGCCAAGCTGAGGTTCCCACCTAGCAGCACACACCTCTCCGCTCAGATGAAGACTTCGCAAGGGTCATTTTGCTGGAGGCTGCATGCTTCCCCAGAGCAAGGCCCTGTGCCAGCCAGGAGGAAGTGACTTCCTTCTGGAAGCCCTTGGCTGCTCTGCTGGCCCTGCCGCGCCTCTCTGTCAGCTTCCTTTCTCCTTGAACCCAAAGTTGCTGACCCTTTGCTGGAACAGGAAACTTCAGAATCAGCCGAATGCTGGCCCCTGGGCAAACTCCCTAGGACCTCAGAGGGCGAGGAGAAGCTGGATCAGGGCAGCCTGCAGGGTGCTGGAAGGATCTTTGTTTGCAGAGCCTCTGACGAGAAGCCAAACTGACCTTGAGACCCCCTCCCTGGACTGAATTTGCTGACCGGAGCAGCTGACCTGCCGCTTGGCAGGAAGAGAAAAAAGGGGTAGGGGGCCAGTTTTTGAGTTTCTTCCACTCCCCCACCATGTGGAGACCACTGCCATCCTGGCCCATCTTGCTTTCTGAGACCCCAGCTCCGCATCCACCCTGCTCAGCACTGGACACAAGGCGGCAGAGGCCTCCCTGGCCTGGGAGTGATTGGGGCTAGAGTGCCCTGATCTGCCAGCATGCCATTTGCATCCCGACTCCACACACGGGGAGGACAAAGGGCAGACTCTGAGGGACCAAAGCCACACATTAACACTGAGGACCTGGACAGTGGTGCAGGTGCTCGCTCTGAGGACACCTTGAGCTTGTGGGGTCCTCTCTGTCCAGCCCTCTTCCATCCTTGCTCCAAACTCTCTTCCTTTTCCAGTCACCCCTAAAGGTCCACCTCAGCCCTGCTGGGGTCCCTCGGGGCCAGTGACCACCGACCCCTCATTCTACAGCTTTAAGGGAAATGCTCACAGGGTATTTTTGTCTACCTCACATATCTAGTTTTTAGGGCAAAAGAGAATAATTTATATAGCTAAGATATATGAGAAAATATTTATGTTATTTATATAGTTTTCTCTATTCTGTGGGCAGCACAGGTGGGGTTTGTGGTTCTGCCAGAGGCTGTCTCTATGGGGAGATACAGCCTGACCTGACCAGGCCATGACTGAGCTGGATGCCAGGTGGCTGGGGAAGACGTCATGTGGGCCCCTGTGTCCTGAGACCAGGTCTGTCTTGGAGCCGCTGAGTGCCATCCCCTCTGTGCCTGAGTCCTGGTGGTCATGATCCGGACCCTCCCTGTGAAATCTTTGTAAATTCTCTGCCCTTCTGGGTCCCAGGCCCCTTCTGCTCTGGCAAAACCCTCTTGCTCATAATAATAATGACAACAAGGATGACCATACCTTGCATTTGTAAAGCACTTTTGATTTCCAGAAACACCTTTATCCCTTTCATCTCATTTGATTTTCCCAGTACCCCTGTGTGGTAGGTGGGACCACACTCTTGTGCCCATTTTACAGATGAGGCCCAGAGAGGTGGAGGGCTGTGCTCAAAGTCACAGTTAAGAAGTTTGTTCAATGAAAATTGACTGACCATCTACACACGCCAGGCACTCAGCAGCCTCGTCCAGGGGCTTAGGGCCAGGAGATATTCTGGACCCCACTCCCCAGCCTGGCTCTGACTTGCCCTAAGCCCAGGAATCCCAAACCCTGGATGCTACCTGAGCCCAGGATCCCAGAGAGTGGCTGCTTCCCTGGCTGTGAGTGACCCTGGCCTTTTGGATCTGGGCGGCACATTGGCCTTTTCTCCATGAGGAGGCCCGTGTCTCCGGGGCTGGGGCTGCTGGAGAGACCTAGAGAGTAGAGGACCCAGTGTGAGGCCACCCAGGGGCTCAGCCATCGGGCCCTCGCTCCTGCTCACGCTGCCAAGAGCACTGGGCAACATCACAAGACTCTTCCCAGGTGATAGATGTGGTTTGCTGGCTCTCATTTGTGGGTTTTTTTTTTTTTTTTTTTTTTTTCCCAAAAAGGAATTGCTTTCTACTGGAATTCCAGCTTCTCTTTTAAACTCAGCTGTGCTGGCCTGCATTCCCACCTGGCCTCAGTCAGCTTGAGGGAGGGCACCCTTTCAGACAGGACACGTGGGGGCTCCCCAGTCTGCCAAGAGCCACCCACCCCGTCCACCGCACTCATGGATTCACCTGCCTGCCTCTCATAGGCATGTCAGTCCATCCCGGGTCTAGACAAGCCCAGCTTTCCTGGTGTCCTCCATTGCCTGGTGTCCTCCATTGCCTGGCAGATAGACTGACAGATGCACAGACATGTGTCAACCTTTGAGATTATTTCTTGCTCTCCAAAGCTTCCTTTCTCAACAACCATAAATTCTAAAATGCTTTTTTGTCTCAGCAAATTTTTGTAAGACAGTGGGTACCTTTTATAACCATTCATTCAATCAGTACATATTTAGAGAGCCCTTCCTAAGTGCCAGACTGCACCCTGGGTGCTGGGGTACAGCGGTGAGCACGACCAAGTCCCTGCCCTGGGAGGGCTGACATTCTACTGGGGAAGAGAGACAATGAACCAATAAACCACATGTCAGCTATTCGTGCCTACTTCGTCTCTTTATTGCAATAACCCTGCACGTCGGACACACTCACCCCCATTTTATAGTTAAGGAAATGGAGGTGGTGAGATGGGAAGGCTCGTGAGTGCCACTAGCGAGCAGTGATGGCAGGATTTGAACACAGATCTGCCGGCCTCGGAAGCATGAGTTCTTTCCTCTCTGTGCTGCTGCCTCCCCACGGATGGATGGCGGCAATGGATCACCCCATATTATGTGTTCTGGGTAAACTGAGGCCTAGAGAAGTGACCCACCCAAGGTTACACAACGGGTCAGTGGGCAGAGCAGGCCTGAGCCTGGGTGCACCCTGGAGTTGATCAGTTTATCTAGGGCCCTCATGCCGTGGCCAGCAATGTGAGCTAAGTTGGGGCAGGATACAGCAAGGGGTAACCTTCAAGGACTCACGGTCCAATAGGAGAAATGACAGGCACTGCCATGCAAGGGTTTGAGTCATTTACACGTTGTCCCCAGAGTCTCTTCTCTGGCCACATTGCCTTGCCAGCATGCTTGGGGAAGTGCACGTCCTCAACAAGCTGCTCTGACCAGGAGGAGGACCCTCTCTGAGCAAAGGGCAGCACCAGAGTGCTGGGTGTCCCTGCTGGGGTCCACACTGACTAACTCCAGGGTCCCCAGGCAGAAGAGGGGGAAGCCCCACTTCCCTTTTATTTCCCACCCTTTACTTCACTCCAGCCCTCACCTGGGGTTCCTTTGTGTAACTACTCGTCCACCTATGGTGTGCCAGGCACGTGACAGGGTGCCATGGTGAAAAGACCCAGTCACCTACATTTTCATCTGCGTCCCCATGCTAAGGTGTTCCTTCTGCTCAGAGTTCCTGGGCCTGGAACCCAGCTAGTCCTGAGCAATGGCAGATCCTTGGTGAAAGAGCCACACAGAAGCAGGCTCCAGGTTACCCTGGGCTTCCTTACCTGTATTCTCACTTGAGCCTCACGAGGTGGACCCCATTGTTCCCCACTTACAGATCGGGAAGCTGAGGTGCAGATGGTTAAGTGACCACTGAAGGCCACAGAGCTAACAAGCAGATTCAGGTCTTTTGCCTTCAAACCTTATGTTCTTTCCACTCCATATGCCTTCAGCCTTTCCCCACCCACATCTAAGCCTTTCCCTGCTTCTGCCCATAACCAGTTCCCAAACAGGCCCTCAGGCCTCTCCACCTTTAGGTGCTTGATGTTCACCACTCTCCCTTGTTGAGTGAGGGACCAGGGCTTGTTGAGACAATCACTAAGTGGGTACTCACCTGTGGTATTCCCGCCTCCTCCCTTTAAAAACATTTAGCCACATTTGCTCTCTCTCTCTCTTCATATATTCATATTTATTTTGTTAAACCATTTATGAGAACATTGCAGACACCAGGCCACTTCACCTTTAAACACTTTATCACATACTCCTAAGAACAAGAACATTCTCCAACAGCAGCACAAGGCCATCATCACATCCAAGAGATTTAACAGTTGCACAATAT